GTTATTATAATTTTATAAATATTTCAAATTAAAAGGTTAAATATTTTATAAATATTTTAAATATATTTCTTAATGTATTTCTTAAGATGTAAGCAGCATAATATTTTTTACATACATTACATTATATTTTATCATATGTGTAATTGCTCATGAAATGCGAATGTCGTGGCAATTAACAATAAGTCACGCACGCGCGCGCAAGTAAACAATTATAATATAAATAATAAATCACTCACCCCTTACAATTGCTCTGTTATTTGACATCATTTGACGCCCTTCCTTCCTCTCTTGTTCCTTCGTTATACGTTATCTCAATACCGGAAATACGATCGCGCGACATTTTATACGGCATTCCCGACGTTAAATCGCGAAGTCTACTTTATTACACTGCGACGAAAAAATAAGGCGAGAAAAGTATGAAACTGCAATCCACTCGACACCCATGCATTTCGCCAATTAGCGTAACGAACGAATCTCGAACGAAAGAGGAAAAATGGTGCGAGGTTAATTATAATTGAGCGCGCATTAATAACGAAAATACGCGATCGCGCGACACTTTGCACGGCACTCCCGGCGTTAAATGGCGAGATCTACTTTATTACACTACGACGGAAGAATAACGCGAGAAATATATGAAGCTACAATCCACTCGACACCCGCGCGTCTCGCAAATTAGCGTAACGAACGAGTCTCGAACGACAGAGGAAATATTGCGCGAAATGTATTACAATTGAGCGCGCATTAATAACAAAAATATAATCGCGCGATACTTTGCACGGCACTCCCGATGTTAAATCACGAGGTCTACTTTATTACACTGCGACGGAAGAATAAGGATGCCTACGATTCGATCCCGACACTCGCGCGTTTCGCAACTTTGCATAATGAACGAATCTTCAATGGCCGGAATTCGGAAATCGCGCGACCAACTTCACGCGCCACCCGCCGCGCCGCGCCGCGGCGATACTACACCTGTTGCTCCTAATTGCACTCTTTCGCGCCCTTTTCGAATTTTATATAAGAAGTAATATATATACACTCGCGTTTTAAAGTGATTACTCTATCTCGTTATAACTTTATAACACAAAAAAAATAAATAAATACATATCGATTTATAATCGTAACACACAATATGAAGTCAAATTAAAAAAAGTTTTGGCAAACAAATATAAAAGATAGAATTTCGAAGAAATAGCCAACTTTACATTATACTTTCTTTTTATATTCAAATTGTTAAAAAATTTTTATTTCAATTAAGATTGATAATATTTTTGAAAAGCTGATCAATCAAAACTGTGACCGTTCACGATAAAAATGTAAAAACAACTGCATATGTATATTTCTCCTCTTGTATTCTATTTCAATATTATACAAATGAGCAAATTCATATATGTTTCAAGGGTAATTTGGATGAAAAGTTATATTTTTTAAAAATGATTATGCTCATACAGAAAATATATTTTCAGAATCTATTGTGTATTTAAAATCCCATTAAATTGCTAAAATAAAAATTAATTTTCGCACGACAAGAAATATTAATAACGCTACGATGATTGTACAATTGTAATAATTAACAATATGCCATTTTCCTTCGATTGAAGTTCATTAAAAGTTTAACAAGAGGGGAGAATAAATATACTTTTCTCGTTATAGTCGCGCAGAATTCAACGTCAAGCAAAAAGAAAGCTAATCAACTACGCAAGGAAATAAATAAAAATATCCGCGCGTGGCACATATCGAACGGAGAAGGGCGAGAAGACACTATTTTAACGCACGCTGCACAATAATTAGCCAAGCATAAGATGTGACGACGGTGCACCTTCTGAACACCGCTGGTGCACGTATATAGCAATGAGCGCCTCGAAAGGGGTCACCATAATTTACCGAGAGCGCGCAAACACTCATTTAAACTCCAACACCGTTCTGACTATTATCTTGGGGTTAAAGACCCCCAAAGAAAACGGACAGCCAATGGCAGATACAGTCGGTGGAATGGAGATAGAGCGCAGATCTCGCACAAGTGTTCGAGGCACATAGAGGGTAAATCTAACGGAGAACTATAATGGGGTTTTGGCTTATCTCGCGGCCCTAAAAGTTTTCTCTGTACTGAGAGCACGGGGGAAATAGTGAGTCGAAGCGAGAATTTACGACGGGAGATCGCCCAATGTGTGAGGCCACATTAATTACCGCCATGTCTCGAAGACCAACCATTCCTGACGTAACCGTCTCTTTCAGCTACGATTATGTCTAGATTGTGTGCTCTCTCTCTCTCTTCATTTTCTCGTATCATAAATCTGTCTCTATCTCTCTTTTTCTTTCTCTCTCTGTTCTTCCCTCGCGCTTCCTCGCCATCTGCTCTATCTTTGTGTTCAGATACCGGAAATTCCAAACACGCCGGCTACGCCGGTACAACTTTCGTCGTGATTGAGGAAGATGGCTTCTGTGCGACGCTAGATTCTAGCTACCAGTTCTGATTAATAATTCGTGGTAAGAGAAGGGAAAGCAAGTCCTACGAGGTCCTCGCAGGCTCACTTTACGAGGGTAGTTGCTCAACATCGGGTAACTGTCTTCCGATACATGACCGCGGAGGAACAAAATCCGATCATGTCGTCAGAAACTTCAAATACGCTCGACTAACTTTCCTGCAATTAAGGAGCAGACAGGGTAAATGGCGCAATTTAGGATGGAAACGACGCGCTGATAACTTTCGCGGACTATGCGCGTTCGGAGTATAATAGAGAGTTGTATGGTCGACTAAATATTTAGGTCATAATCAGAGAACGTATCACAAAGAGGAACATGGTTGAAACGTTTAACAATGTCGTGAGGCAAGGGGAATGATGCATCATAAAAAATTCACGGAATGCAAATTCCTTACACAAGTCCTTCTGCGAATTCATTCGATACGATTGCACGTATCCGTCCATGCTAAACTGAGACACGTACAACGAAATATGTAGCTCGGAAAGATCTAGCCCAACCAACTTCTATTGCACTCAAGAGTAGCGTTGCATTTTTCCTACCGCTGCGTCACCAATATGGACGAGAGACAGAGAGAAAAGAGAAAAGCGGAAAAACAGTTGCGTTTATCATAAAGCTCGTAAGGCAGAGTAGTACGAGGCGAGCGCAAAAGATAAAAACGCAGGAGAATAGCTTACGCATAAGAATAAAGTGCTGTAATGGACGAACGTACGATGTCTCGACCCTACCATAAAGAAAAATACTAGATGGCTGGTTATACATGAGAGCGTCATGCACTCGACGGCCAACAAAATGTTTTCATTATGTAGGGTTCATACAAAATATAAAGTCTACTATAGACGATCTCTAAAAATCGCGACATAATTCAGAATAAATTTTTCAGAATAATTTTACTTATTATTGTACACGCCGTGTATAAATGTATGTGATAAATAAAATTCTGTTAATTATCTTGTAAATTGAGTTTAAGCTTAACAGCGATATAAAGATATTCGTAGTCGAATTAATAAGACTGGCACTTTATGTGACTCTAATATTTTCATAAATAATAATTTTAAGTATATCCACATTCGTCTTCTCTCTCTTTTCTACAACGTATAAATTATTCGTATAAGATATTGTTGTACACTTTTGCTACACATACGATAAGAATATATATTTATTTACTCTTCGTAAATTTGTTGTTATACGCTTTGCTATGCATATTTCAAAATAAATATTTCTTTATCCTTTGTTAATGATCTATCAATTATTCAAAGATATACAATCATAATAACAGTAAAGTATCTTAAAAATTGTACATTGGGACGAGAGAATTGGCATTTTATTTCTCGTTAACTCAAAAGATTTACGCTTATATATAACAAAATGCACTTTTGGTCGCGAGCTAAGTAAATTTACATATTTTAAAAACAACCTGTATAAGTGAGGAAGTGGAAATGTATAGTCTCACTAAAACATCATGGACAATATAAAACAATGTTAATGCCACAAATAGGAAAGCGCAAAATGTGGATTGTAAATGTATACAATATACAGGCGCGCATTACACTTACACGAGAAAAAGAAACTACCAGTGATTCTGATGCTCGAAAGTGGATCTGCTGCTCGGCAGCTGCAATGGCTTACAACAAAAAAAAAGAAATCCGGAAAGATAAGCCGGTTTATCACCGAGCTTATATACACGGCAAAAAGGATGAAGCTAATACCTGAAAGACGTAGAAAAATCGAAAATTATCGCTATATAATTACCGTAGAAATAAAGTATGAAAAATGTGCAATTCTATAGTAATAACAATCATTAAAAAAATCATTGTAAAGGAAATTGATCATAGTTTAAACTCTAATCATTAGTATTATGGTTAATCGTCTCTCTATAAAATTGTAAAAAGCAAATCAAACTTTTATTTATTGTAATGATAAAGACTTATATTAAAATTAGTCATTTCAGATTGCATAATTTTTCAACGCAAATTTGATTTAAAAAATTATTAGCACATATACTTTCTTTTTTCTCTTTTTGTCTACTTCATAAAAGTCAAATTATTAAAGCAAACCGATTAATTATAATAACTAGCATGGTTTTATCGTTAACTGAATATTTATCGATAGTTTACTATCGCATCCGCTCAATAAATATTAGACAATAGATAGAGAACAATGTATGTAAATAGAGCCGTGAAAATCATTCGGAAAGGGCGTAGTACTCCCAGGAAAACGAGACCCGGCTGGCTTGCGCATCTCTTTCCACTGCGAAGTGGCGCAGTAGAACACTGCGAGTTTGCGCGGTGAAGGTGCATTCACACCACGCAGAGACCGAAAACCGGCCATGCTGGTACATGCGCAATGCTGTATTGATCCTGCGGATTGGAGATGCACGTACCAGCATCCAGTGGTCCGGCGGCTGTACACAATGTCATTTCTGTTCGACGTTCTTCCGGTATTTCGCGAGCGAGACGATCCGCGCAAGTAATGGAAGACCAGACCAAAGCCTGACTCGTATCACTGATTGATAAACGCGCGTGAGAGATCGGACGTATTTATCAGAGCAGATTATGATAAACAAGAAGGACAGAGGATAAAGGTGCCGTATTCAGAGAAAGCGAGAAATCCGAGGAAAGTGAAGCGCAAGTATGCTATGATAGTTTAGATTATGTTCGCGATAAATGTATATAATATTTTTGGCTTAAATAATAAGACATAATAACTCGGTGAACAAAATTGATAAGCATTATAAAAGTATGAGCCCAACAAGTAATCGTAATAGTTTTCATTTTAGAATATGCTTCCAATTTGTTTTTGATTTGAATAATAAATTAATTACAATAAACTATGACAGAGAAAAGTATAGAAAAAATAAGTTAAGTTTATGTTATATATAATACTGTTACATGTATCTTTTTTTATATTTGTTGACATTTATTTGTGAAAATAATATATACTTCTCACGCACATACAAATTTTCTTATACTCTTCTCTGTAGATGTAGTTATACAATATTTAAAACTTGTTAAAACATATATAAAATAAATAAAAATATAGTCCATAAAAATAATTTTCATTATTAATATAATAATCAAAAAAAAATCATTGAGCTATCACAAATACAAGACAAAAAATTATTACAAACTTTTAAATTTGTTATCAAAAACTTTAAAAAAACGGAATCTTTTTAAAAAAAACTTTAACTGTTCAAAAATTCTAATTCAGACTTTTCAAGATTTAAAAAAAAAAGTTTAATAATGAAACATATTTCTCGTACAAATTTTAATGCGAGGAGACGATCACTTAACGCAACAGGTTTGTAATTCTATGACTAATAACTCGCAAAGCTCAGTTAGACTATCGATATATATATAGAACTATAAATACTAGTGATATATAAATTAAATTAGAACCTTTCAATGAAAAGTATGAAAACTAATTTAATAAAAAATCATAATGCCAAGTATAAAATAATCCTGATCGCGAAAATTTTCCTTTGATATTTATTTTTTTGGTAACAAACAGGAAATTATTTTACGTAAATATATAGACAGATTTTATAAAGAACACTGTTTTAAGTATTACACCAGAACAAATTAATATAAAATTTTCTGCAAAATGTTCTAAATAAAGTAATAAAAATCAGTAACTTAATAAAATTATTATGTACATGCACCCACCTCATATGTATATTATTTTTAAAATTAAAATATAAAAACTGATATATAATCTTTTTAAATAATAACATGCACAAATATCTCATAAATTCATGTACGAAATATTCGGGAATATTAATAAACACGAAATAAACTAATGTCATATTATTAATGTTTCTGTGCAGGATAATTTTGATGATCTCTATCTAATCACACGTTAGCAATAAAAAATGATATTCCCTTTAATCATTCTGATCCTTTCGGTGGGAATCTGCTATAGCAATCCAGATGCTAAAAGACTTTACGATGATCTACTCTCAAATTACAATCGGCTCATTCGACCTGTATCCAACAATACCGACACTATTATTGTAAAACTAGGTCTCCGTCTCTCGCAGCTGATAGATCTCGTACGTGATACACATATTTCTATCACGATCAAATATACTTTTATCATTATTAAAAATTATGTGCAAATATATAACATATATTTATTTCTTTCTCTACATCTCTCCTTAATGAAATTCATTCATAATATTTGCAGAATTTAAAAGATCAAATCTTAACGACGAATGTCTGGTTGGAACATGTAAGTTTTGAATTATAGACAAAAAAATTTAGCCAATTTTTAGTTGCTATCTGGCCTGCAAATCAAAGAACAGATTATAATTGTAGCAAATTAATATTTTCAGGAATGGCAAGACCATAAGTTCCAGTGGGATCCTTTGGAATACGGGGGTGTCACTGAACTCTACGTGCCTAGCGAACATATATGGCTACCCGACATTGTTCTTTATAACAAGTACGTGATGCTGTGTTTCACCTTTCTTATGATTATCGTAACTGGAAAGTAATTACGCATGATTTCTTGTAAAATACATTTCTAGCTTTTATTGATTTTTTATTCAGAAATTATCCAATGTAAAAATTTATTAGCTTATCAATTCGAATTAATGAGCTTACGTTTATTGATTTTTCACTCACTCAGAAATTATATAGTATATTTTTACATGGAAAAATTTATAAGCTTTTCAACTTGAAATAACGAATCTACTTTCAGCGCGGACGGAGAATACGGTGTGACAACAATGACTAAGGCTGTTTTGCATTACACCGGCAAAGTTCTTTGGACACCTCCCGCAATTTTTAAATCTTCCTGCGAAATAGATGTTAGATACTTTCCCTTCGACCAACAAACCTGTTTCATGAAATTCGGCTCATGGACATATGATGGCTTTCAAGTGAGTAAATCTATTAAAAAATACAATTATACTTATAAATATAAAGATATAAATATAAAAGACTATAGGTATATGCATAATTATTGTCCGTTATATATTTCTTTTATTTATTTATATTTTGTAAGAATATCGAATGCAGAATCTCTCTAATGTATTTTCTATTTATAATCATCCAAAATATTTTTTCTTCAGATCGACTTGAAGCATATTAATCAAGATGTAGGCGACCAAGTCAAAGTAGGTATCGATTTACGCGAATATTATCCAAGCGTGGAATGGGACATACTAGGTGTCCCTGCGGAACGTCACAAGAAGTATTATCCTTGTTGTCTCGAACCGTATCCCGATATCTTCTTCAACATAACTTTACGTCGAAGAACATTGTTCTATACGGTGAATCTCATAGTGCCATGCGTCAGTATCTCTTATCTATCGGTGTTGGCTTTCTATTTACCGGCCGATTCCGGAGAAAAGATCGCGCTCTGTATTAATATCCTACTATCCCAGACTATGTTTTTCCTACTGATATCCGAGATTATACCATCCACGTCTCTAGCACTGCCGTTGCTTGGCAAGTATTTACTTTTCACGATGATCCTGGTCGGTTTGTCGGTCGTGATAACGATCATTATTTTAAACGTGCATTACCGAAAACCGAGCACTCACAAAATGGCACCTTGGGTAAGAAAAATTTTCATCAGAAAATTGCCGAAACTACTTCTGATGAGAGTGCCCGACGATATTCTCAGTGATCTCGCCGCGCACAAGATACACGGAAGAGGAAGATCCGGAAAGAAGAGTAAGTTCAATGCCGCTATTGCAGCGGCAGCGCAATCGTCATCGATAATATCTTCGCCAGATTCTGCCCGCCATCAACGAATCGATGGTATGACCCTTTTATTCTTTCCATTTAAAATAATTGACTATATAAATAAAGAACTTAATTTTTTTTAATTTCTTTAAATTGGTAAACTCTAAATTTAAAATATTTGCTAGAATAACAAGTAAAATTACCAGATTCTATCTTATTTTTATTTGTTTTAAGAAATTTTTTCTAATTAAATTTTGCATTAACTATTCTTTAATAATTTTCATAATTCGTAATGCAACATGGCATGGAAAAAAGATAATTTTTTATAAATACTATTTTTTTTCAAAATACATGTGCCAATTTTCGATTCACTAGTTTATATTATTTTTCCCATTTCAATTAATGTTCTATAATATTCTCTATTACTTTTCTCTATATTGCGCATTCCGTATATATCTAATATATTAAAAATAACGTTTCGTAATACGTTGAATGGAATATATCATTAAACGATATATTTTTGATGTAATAAAATGTTTTAGGTTGTAACGGTTTACACAGGACAACTGCCCATAATCGATTTTTAGTCGGCAGTTTAGGATATAACGGGCTTCCAACAGTTATGTCCGGTCTCGATGAATCATTAAGTGATGTAACGCCAAGAAAAAAATATCCTTTCGAATTGGAAAAAGCTTTACATAATGTCATGTTCATTCAGCATCATATACAACGCCAAGACGAATTCAATGCGGTAAACATTTTTTAACATCAATTAATATATTACAAAAAATATTTAAAAAATATCTAAATATACCTAAAAAAGCATATTCAATATTTCTGTTGCTTTTGAAGATAAGAAATTATTAAAAATAAACATGCATAATTAAAAAAAAAAAAAAAACGGCTATGACAGAGGAGAAAAAAATTCGTTAAAGATTATTCGTATAAAACATGAAGATAATGGAATCTTTTTAGAAAAATATTCAAATGTAATCTTTTAAATGCCTTATTCTGTATATTAATTACTATGTTCTATGTTGTACTATCATAGGAAGATCAAGATTGGGGTTTCGTCGCAATGGTTCTCGATCGTCTCTTCCTATGGATCTTTACGATAGCCTCCATAGTTGGAACTTTTACAATTCTATGCGAAGCACCTGCACTTTACGACGACACAAAGCCGATCGACACGAAATATTCCTCAGTTGCTCAACAACAATTCTTCCCACCCGAAATCCAGGAAACTACTTTACTGGAAACTATCGGGTAGACATTCATAGAATGATGTGATTCTATTTGCTAATATATATTATGAATATAAAGGGAAACAGCGAGCAGTCTTTCGGAATAGAGCAAAGTTACACATACATTACTATTATATTTAAAGATTTGATTATATCTAGATAAATTATGGTTTCGACGATATTTCTAAAACGTATGCTATATATATACACAACTCCAATGTTATCACAATTCTAGAAATTGGCCTAAAAATATGAATGTGATTTAATTAATTTGGCAAGAAAGACGATTCGCTGGCTTACCGTATAACTGACAATTATAACACGATTATACTCTCGAAATAAATTATATTTATACTTATTACTATATGCGCAAATAAAAAAATGCGCGACTCATTCTTTGATAACGACTATTGACATTATTGCGATATTTGCAAAAAAGACTTTACTATAGATATCATTTGTAAAATTTTTGGTAACGTTGGTTACAGAGTCGAGATATAACGGTGGTATTTCATTCGCACACCAAAGTCTACCTGTATATAGGACAAGTTTCATGCTCCAATTAATATCTTCCCGAAGAGCAATCGATTCATATATATGTAGCGTAGTTTTTCGACAAATTATAAACAAAACTTTTTTCATTACAAACAAGAACATATATATACTCGAGTTTGTTCGATATACTGTACGCATTAGAAACAAAAATAAAAACTAAAAAATCAAAAAGTAAAGGATAAGTCTTTTTTCTTAATTATATATAATAAAGATATATTTTTTTAATACACCTATTCCTAAAATATACCTACCTATCTTAAAAGGTAAATTTAACTATATATGAGGCATGGGCAAATTTATATATATATATATATATATATATATATATATATATATATATGTTCGGGCACACATTCTTAACTAAATATATATATTTTATTATACCATACAAAAATTGTATGGTAAAATACATAAAGACTACAGAATTACAAAAAGATATATGTATTAAACATTTCTAGCTATGTTTTCATTGAATATAAACAATGTAAGGAACAAAATCTCATGAATATTATTAATGCAAAGTTGAAATCATGAGTGAATGTCGGAAATAATTGAAAAATGTAATATAATTGTCGATATAAATGTGGCATGTATCAAAAGTATGTACGGCGTACATCAAAGAATAATTAAAATTTATCAAAATGTCATAATAATGCGCGTGTGTATGTATAAAAAAATTGTATGTGATGTGTAATAGATAAAATATAAGAAATAAGAGTAAAGAACGAGAGTCAGATTCAGTTCTTTTCTATATGAAAACAAACAGATCGACTCTTTTCGATAATAATAAAGAGCATATTTTCCGGTTATTACTGGTCTTAATTCTCCCCCCCCCC